GGCAAAAAGACTTATTGCCACCGGTTAACCGGTGGCAATAACACTTCCCGCATTTTATTTTTTTTGGTATTAATAAGTATTGCCACCGGTTTGTAGGTGGAACCGGTGGTAATAATGCCCAAAAAAACAAAAAAAAAAAAAATTCAATTTTTTCACTTAAAAATCAAGAGACAATTACATATAATCATAATAAACATTTTTTTTTTACAAAAAATTTAAGCACAATTAAAAATCAAAATCTGCAAAAAAAAATCTGCCAAAATATATTAAACCCATAAATATATTATAATCACTTGAAATATATTATTACATGCAAAAGAACAAAAATTACAACATAAAAATAAAAAGAAAAAAAAATTACAAAATTAAAAAAGAAAATTACAACATCAAAATCAAAAATCAACATCTTCAATCTTCACAATCATAAACTAATACTTGCATGAATAAATACACCAAATTAAAATTAATAAAATCACATAAGAAACTGCAAAGAAAACTAAAAAAAAAAAAGAACACTTAACCTAGAAATTAAACCCATAACCCACGACCCACAACCTACCACCCACAACCCAACACCCACAACCCACAACTTTACCACCTAAAACCACCCACCTCCCACAAACCTCCCACCTAAAACCACCAACCCTGACCGTACCCCCACCAAACCCATTCAAACCCAGATCTACCCACCTAAACAACCAACCTTGACCGAACCCACACTCCTCCAACCCACCCACCTAAAACCCTCAACACGTAAGACCACAGCCACCGAACCAACAATCAAACCCACCAACCTAACACCATCCAAAAATTTACTAAAAAAATCAAAAGCAAAAATATTAAAACGAACCTTAAAAGTAAAAAAAAAGCTTCGAAATTCCCTCGAACTTGGTTTAATAAGGTCAAATTCGGCCATAAAAACGCTAGATCTAGCATTTTCATGGTGGAATTTAACCTTGAAAACCATTAACTTGCCTAAAACCATCACCACAAATGCGTGAGAAAAGAGGGATGTTGTTGATGAAGGTCTTTGGCGGTGGTTGGTGGCGGTGGTGGTAGTGGCCGTTGAGGGGAAAGAAGAGGAGGGCAACGAGAGAGAAGGAGAGAGGGGGGTGAGTTCGCAGGAGAGATAGAGAAGGAGAGGAGAGAGAAAGAGATAGGTGAAAGGAGGAGAGGAGGATCGCAGGAGAGAGAGAAAGAGACAGGAGAGAGAAGGAGGAGAGGGGAGAGTGAAGGAGAGAGGCTGAGTGAGAGGAGAGTGTTAGGGTTAGGGGTTTATAAAGGGGGGCGTTTTTTATTTTTTAAACTAAGCCACCGGTTTTGAACCGGTGGGTTTAATATTTTCCCCACCGGTTCGGTTTGAACCAATGGCAATACTAATCCCTCAAAATCCCGCCCATTTTCCCCTTACTTTTTCCCACCGGTTTTCGAAAACCGGTGGCCATTGAGCGGTGCCTTTTTGCATTTTTCTACTAGTGGTAGGTGTTGTTATGGTTGGCCTGTCTTTAGGAAATTACTTTGATGGTCTTCAATTTGGCGTTGGGGTTTCTTTAGGTGGTGAGGCAATTCTTCATGCTGTGAATCGGTTGATTGAGGACCGTGGTTCCGACGTTGGTCTTTCTATGTTGTTGGTGGATTTTCAAAATGCTTTCAATCTTGTTGATCATACGGTCATGTTGCGTGAAGTTCGTCGTCGTTGCCCAGGCATTTCGCGATGGGTTGAGTTCTCCTATTCTAATCCAGCTAGTTTGTATTATGGGGACCAATCCTTATGGTCGTGTCAGGGAGTGCAGCAGGGTGATCCCCTTGGTCCTCTACTTTTTTCTTTGGTTTTACAGCCCTTGGTTAATTTGTAAAATTAGAGATGCTTTTGACTTATGTCTTCAGGCGTGGTATTTGGATGACGGCACTATTATTGGTGACACTTTGGTGGTGGGGAAGGTTCTAGAGTTAATCATGAAGGATGGGCCTCGTTTTGGTTTCATCTCAATGTGGAAAAAACTGAAGTTTTCTGGCCTTCAGAAGACCCTCGAAGCAGGCTTGTGGGTGTCTTTCCGCCTAATATTTCTCGACCTTCACATGGTGTTAAGTTGCTTGGTGGTCCAGCTAGTTCCGATCCCGGTTTTGGAGGTGACCTTGTGATGCAGAGGGTGACCAAGACCATTTCTCTGATGGATAAGGTTGTTAAGCTTGATGATCCCCAGTGTGAGTTGTTGTTGCTTAGGGCATGTACCGGAGTTTCAAAACTCTACTTTGCTTTGCGTACTTGTCCTCCGAGTATTTTTGAGGTGGCTCAGCGCACTTTCGACGAGGCTCTTCGTTTTTCCTTGGAGCGTATCGTTACTGCTTCGGGGCCTGGGTTTAGCGATTGGCAGTGGAGACTTTCCAACTTACCATTTGCGTTTGGCGGACTTGGTGTTTATTTTGCTGGTGATGTTCGTCATTATGCTTTTCTTGCCTCTTGGTTACAGTCTGTTAGGTTGCAGACAAAGTTACTACAGCACGCTGGCGTTGTTGGCCTTGGTCAAGCCTTTGCGGATGCGTTGAGTCTGTTTGATAGAACGGTTGAGTCTGACATTATGAGTAATCCTACTGAGGTTGCTGCCCCTAAACTTATGAAGAATTTGGCAGATATATACTTCACAAAGGTTACCGCTTCTGCATAATCTGCCTTCTGTTTATCTCCTCGACAATCAGCATTGTGGAAATTGCAGCAGGGAGATCATACCTCCGTTTGGCTTCGGGCGGTTCCTATTTCAGGGTTGGGTCAGACGATGAACGCAAAGACTTACCAATGTGTGTTATGCTACCGATTGGGTGTTCCATTGTTCTCTGTCTCGACGTCGTGCTCTGCTTGTTCAAGGGTTTTCACAGGGGATATTTTCGGTGATCACGCGGTGTCGTGTGCTAGTATGGTGGGTATTAAACATCGGCACAATGTTGTTCGGGATACCCTTGTTGATATTTGCCATCGGTCAGGGATTTCTACTAGGAAGGAGGTGGACATTGGGTTATCTGGAGGGAACGACGGGGCTCTCAAACCTGCAGATGTGTTACTTTATTCATGGGATCGTGGTCGCGATGTCTGTGTTGACTTGACAAGGTCTTCTCCATTGACACAGTTTGGGCTTTCTGACTTTGTTCCTGGACGGGTAGTGACTGATGCGGCTAATCGGAAGCGGGTGAAGTATGATTCTAGTTGTCGAGCAATAGGATATGGCTTCCTTCCTTTCTCTTTCTCTTCTCTTGGGGAGTTAGAAAAGGAGGTTGTTGCATTGCTGAAGCGGATCCAGAAGTTTTCGAAGACTCGGGACATTGGGGCGCGTGCTGCAGATCATATCTTTACTAGAATCGGCTTTTCAATAGCTAGAGGAGTGGGGGCCCAGATTGTTTCTCGGCTTCCCACTAATTTTCTATAGGTTGTATAACTTTGTATGTTTTTGAGATTAATAATAATAATAATAATAATAATAATAATTTTCAATATGTAGTCTATGTGTGAGAAGATTTGAACAATGTTTTTCTCAACTGAATTAAGTTTTAAGGGCTTTCATTTTTAATAACTATCTAAATTATATGTTACTCTCTTACAAAATTATTTCTTTTTTCATATATACGAACTAATTAGTCCTTTCACTTTAAGTTTAATTTGCTACTATATTACTCAAACTAAACTTGTGAATGTTCATTATATTTTCATTTCACGTTTCAATATTATTGGTACCATGTTTAATCAATATAATCCTCAAACTCTTATTTCCACGCAAAACTTAAATCGAATGAAGAAACTACTATGTAATTCATTAGCAATAACAATGCCCATTGGAAGTGAGACTCCCAGTTTTTGACTTAAGAGTGGTTTTACTTTTTAGTCTACATTCACAAATTAACAATTTAGACTTAGTTGCAAATTGCAATTAAGGAATTAAGATAATGACTCAAGTAGTCAAGTGCTTCTATACCTATCAACTAAAGTAAGTCGTTACTCGTTAAGGCTTATTGGTTTAGGCCAAATTATTGCTCACTTTTTTTTTTTAATCATGAAATCGTATTAAAAAATCAATTTTGTGTCTTTGATTTTTGTAGTCCAATGAATTTGTGACCACTTTTCGCATATTCCGAAAATTACAAGCTACTTATATTAACAAATAAATTTTACCGTATTATAAAACCAAAATTAATTTAGGCCAGTGAAAGTTAAACTAATAACATTACTCAATCACTTTAACAAAAATCAAAACAACAACTAACAAATACATGAAACTATAACTTCAAATTTTTGAATCCAAATATGACTTGTGTTATAATAACCGCAAGAAAAATTCGAAAAACAAACAAGTACATTCAAAATTTTGTGATTAAGATCAATCACGATTAGCTAGCTACGTCCCTGAGCATAGAATGTTTTATGAATCTCAAGACTTTGATCCATGGTTGTTTATAGGGATTGGAAACAAATCAATTCAAGACATATTCTAACAACTTATTTGTCGTAAAGTTAAATATACATATAGTACAACCTTACAGATTGATATAACCTATTCAACCCAATAATGAATAACAGTAATATTATAAAAAAAAATTCAATTAGCTAGCTTAGAAATCTAGACAACTAATTTAAATAAATAACTTAGACTTTCTAACATAATAGTACCATTTAAATAATAAACGTATGTATTAGGTAAAGTTTAATGGATTTTTTTGTTTGGTAGAATTACCAATTACGTTAATTTAAAGACGTAGAACAAGGAGGATGTCACCCAAGTTACAGTTGAATTTAAAACAATATTTTACAGTACCATTGCAACTACCTTAACGAAGAATCTAACACCCCAAAGATCACGGTAAATAAATAAATTATTTGTGTGTTCATTTTTAGTACTACTGTATATAAAAGTTATTTTATATTAAGGAGTACAAAAAATATAATATAAAAAAAAAAAAAAAAAAGGTTGATTTATTCCTATAAATACCCCTCAAAGTTACACTATGTCAATTCATTATCTCTAGGACTAATAAGATAACTAAAGAGAGAAAATGGAGATACCAACCATAAACTTTGGTCAGCTTGAAGGTGAGAAAAGAGGTGAAACAATGGCACTTTTACATCATGCCTGTGAAAAATGGGGATTTTTCCAAGTAAGTTGAATTTATTTTTTTTTGAATAAATATCATAAAATAATAGCGATATATTTGATAATGTCTCTTAGATCGTACTAAAATCATGCGTTCATAAATTTTGTGCGTGTATTATATATATGCTTGATATACGGGAAAATATATGTTGAATTGATGACATAATATGATATAGTTTTCGTTATAGAAAATATGCCTGATATTTTATTGATTAGTTATAGTCTAATCAGTCTATATTACACAATACATAAGCTTAAACTCACTAATAAACAAGATTAAAATGTAACGAAACTTAATGAAGATTGATTTTTATAAGTTTACAACAATTAATAGCATAACTGCATAAGTGATTCAACTTTGTTACATGATACATATACAAGTCCCAAAGATAGTCCCCCTGTTATTTTAAATTTGTTACGGATTTGGATGGTGATTGTCTCGCTAAAAAGTCAAAACATGAAGAAGATAGGGGAGCGGATATATTCATTTATGCAATTCAGATTGATAGATTAAAATGGGTGTGAATTGTTACATTTTCAGATAGAAAATCATGGCATAGACAAGGAGTTGATGGAAAAAGTGAAGCAATTCATCAATATATATTATGAAGAAAAATTGAAAGATGGCTTCTTCAAGTCAGATATTAGCAAGGCTTTGGAGAACAAGGAGAATGCTTCTAACAGAGATTGGGAAAGCAGCTTCTTCATTTGGCATCGCCCCGAGTCTAACATAAATAAATTTGCTGATTTCTCTGAAGATTTCCGGTTAGTAAACAAATTATATATTCATACAAACTTCATTTATTCATAGTGTGAGTTTAACAAAATCTGTCAGAATCATCAGCTAAATGGTAAAATCTTTGCTTATGATCTGCAGGAAAACGATGGAGATTTACGTCAATCAGCTAGTTAAGGTTGCTGAAAAACTATCCGAGCTAATGTGTGAAAATCTTGGACTAGAAAAAGACCACATAAAGAAAACATTCTCAGGAATCAAAGGCCCTGCAGTAGGAACAAAAGTGGCTAAATACCCTGAATGTCCGAACCCTGAACTTGTCAGAGGCCTCCGCGAGCACACTGATGCAGGCGGAATCATTCTGTTACTGCAAGATGATCAAGTTCCAGGCCTCGAGTTTTTCAAAGATGGTAAATGGTTTAAGATACCGCCTTCTAAGAACAACACGATCTTTATCAATACAGGGGATCAGATCGAAGTGCTTAGCAATGGAAGGTATCAGAGCATTCTGCATCGCGTTATGACAGGAAAATGTGGAAGCAGATTGTCTGTTGCTACGTTTTACAATCCTGCAG